TTCGGCCTAGCTGTTCGACCCGCTTCTGCGCGACCTGCTCCTCTGTTGTGTCGAGTTGCGCAAGGACGTTACGCCCCGCCCTTCGTTCCTGTCTGGAGTCTAGTTCCCCTTTTGCTTCCCTTGGACCCCCGGAGTTCGTCTCTTCCTTCGCGCCTTTTGTACCTCTACTGTAGCCCGTTTTCTGGCCGGGCTTTTACTTGGCTGGTTTGACATCCATTCTTGCCAGAACTCCCGTCTAACTTCTTTCCTCTGCTCCACTGAATGCCTCTACTTTCCTTTCCAGGAAAGTACCAGAGAATTCCTAACTGAGTTCCCCCCTGAGCCTTCTCCTGACTATGCCCTTTCCATCAGAAAATATAGCGCCAAGAAATTGGAGGGCAGGCTGCTGCTGCTGCAGTTCGCTTCAGTAAGGAACAGGGGCACAGAAAACCTTTGGCCTCATCTCGTCTAGGTTACGCACTGCCGTCGTTACCGTGGCCATAGCGGCTGCGTCTTTGTACCAAACCCCAGCCGACTGAGTTGAGGGCTGAGTCTCGTAGATGGACTTAGAGAGGCTCACGTAGGCACGGTGCGTCGCAGCACATATTTTTTGTTTGTACCAATGGAGAGAAACGACCGGCAGGTTAGGCTTTTGTGGGCGAATGACAGGGCCATTCTAGCCAAGGCTGCAAAGGAAAAAAGCCAGCTAACGAAGAGGAACTACGCGCGTTGAAAAGAAGTTGAGAAAAGACAGGAAAAAGGAAAAAAAAATGGGTCAAAGAGAAGGCTTTGGTTCTCAAGGACGATTGGTTCAAGAGACTGTGCTAGACAGATTACCAAAAATAAAGGATGTTTGTAGCAGGCTAGGTGCTGTTGTGGTATAGTTTCAAGAAAAGGGGAAACACATTTTTGGCTTTTACCTTCTCCTGTCTCATACATCGGATCGTCTTGCAAACTCAACCTCTAAGCTTGCCCTCCGCATTCCGGGCCAGAAGGACGAACTCATATGCCAGAACTACATGTGCTTTTAACGTCGTTACAACCGTACGCGTCGCGCTTTCCGTTGAAACCTCCACGGACGCAGAAGGCAGGCACAGAAGCTCGAGGCACATTTAAAGACCGGCGTCCGAACAGCCGACCATAATTCCCCAAATGACCACTAGTCCCTTTGTTTGCGAGTGCACCGTAGCAGAACAGAGAAAATTCGTTCGTCATTTTATCTGAGTTTTGGGGCGCTTTGCACCCTCCAGATGTATAAGCCCGTGTGTGGCCTGCCGCGTTTCACTGCTCGCTCTGCCTGCCTGATTGGAGGTCCTCATTGTCTGAGACCTGGTAGCGGCACTAACGAACGTTTGGCAGATGCTTCGTGTCACCGATAGGGGCGACGCTCGTACACGTACTGTTGTTTGCGACCTTGAATGGCGGAGTGTGAGAAAGACGGAGTGTGTCCTGACATCTCGATAGAAGCATTGGAGCTTTTCGAACAGAACAACGTGAGCGAGTGAAACAAAACCGCCGAAAACGGTTGGGAAATTTGTTAACGCGAGTGGTCGTCAGAAATATCGGGCCAAACAGCAAAGTATTCTGGAAATGAACCAGATAAACAACAGGATGCAAGGAAGTTTCATATGGTAGGCTTTTGTAGGGCAGTTTCACGTGTATCTGTTTGACGCGTTACAAGTCCTTTAGTTACAGTCTAGTTGGTTTTGCTCATGTACCGATTAAAATTATCAACACGAGTGTCGTTTGTTTACTATGTTATAGCATCTGGTATACGGTTAGACTGTAGGTATTTTTGGAACTTTTATTGTGTCCATTTAATTAAAGGAAAAAGTGGGACTTGAATGCGTACAATGGAAGCGCTGTGGAAGCTATTCTTTTATCGATGTTTTGATCATATTCGAAAAGGTATCTGAAGAATCCTTTTTACTTTTGGGCTCACCCTTTTTGTACCTGATAAGCTTAGGCCCCTCCAGAAGGCTGCCCGTCTTCCACTCCTTACTTTCCAGCCTGTTACCCATCGACTCAATTCAAGAGCAACCGTTTCTTACGTTCTCTATCGTAAAATCTTGCTTCATTTGTTTTCCTTTCAGCTATTCCTGGCCGGCCTGTTTTGCCATCCAACTTTGTCGCTGTTCGGCCCGCCTCTGCGCGTGGCGCTATTGCATTGTATCGAATTGCGCAAGGACGTTGCGCTCCCGCTCTTCGTTTCTGTCTGGAGTCTAGTTCCCCTTCACCTTCCCCGCAGACCCCCCCCTGGGGGGGGGGCGGCTTGTCCCTCCCTCCCCGGTTTTCAAACCCCTGCGGGACCCTACACTAAAGTCTATTTTCATTCCAGGCCTTGGTTAAACGATCGTGTCCAAGAATAGCTGGGTATCCATTTTAGTCATTGCCTTCCCCTACCGTCGCTGTCTTCGTTTAAGCCCTCCATACTCCTCTGCTTTGGTGAACGCTTGTACTTTCCTTCCGAAGAGAGTACCATGGGCCTCCTGACTAGACTCCTTTCTGAGCCTTCTCCTGGTTTTGTCCTTTCCACTACGAAATAAAGCAGAGGGACTAGAAATGCCGCCGCTGGAGTCTGCTCCTGTAGAAGGAAAGAAGGACATTAGAAAACCTTTGGCCTAGCTAGCATGACTTAGCCTTCCCTCGCGTAGGTTACACATTGGTTTATGGGCAGGGTTCTATCGATGACTCAACAATAGAGGCTTAGGCGAAGGAGTCGAAACAGTTATCTTCTCCTTTGAGCCAACAAAAGAAACCGTTTGGCAAGCTAGTTCTTGCGAATGAATCGCAACAAAGTTTTGGCGAAGACAACAAACGATAAAGGAAAGAAAGTAGCAAACGAATAAGAAACATAAGCGTTGAAAAGAAACTAAAAGGCGGCAAGGATGATGCTCTTAGTTGAGCAGGGAAAAGCAGAAAACCCGCTTAGAATAGAGGGTGTTTCGAGCAGGGTAAATTCCGGATTGATATAGTTTGGGAAAATCGAGAAAAGGGGTTCTTGCGTTCGCTGTCTTCGGTCGCTTTTATCGGACCCTAATGTGACTACCCTTTTAAACACCGATTTTACCAGAAATGTTGGATCGAGGACGAGAAAAGTAATTTCATGAACCGCATGAACGCTAGTAGTTTTTTCGTCGTAAACGTCGCTTCTTCAGTCCTAGCCGCTCTGCCGGACACGTATAGACACCTACAGGCACAAACACAGATTTCTCAAGGCATAGGCTAGCCAAAATCCAACTAAGCATGTACCATACCATTGATAACGATAACCCCTGGTACCCCCTGGTCCGCGTGCCTGCGCCCTGGAGTGGGCGGGATTTGTCTGCTGTTTCGTTTAATTTTCTTGCCATCTCGTCTGCTGACGATCAAGCCAGAACCGCCTGTGTGGGTAATTACGCGTTGAGGCTCTCTTCGTTCTCCGTCCCATATTCATTGGTCTTGGTAAATTGGAGGCGAACGGGCACTCATGGTCTCTGGTCTACGATTGGCGCTAGCGGGAGTCTTTAACCGCAGTTCTGTATCGATAGCGGCCGGTAGCGGCGCAGGTCGTCAACGTCCTGTTATCTGCGACCTTAAGGAGAGGAAAAGAGGGAAGGCCGAGTGTAGTCTTATATCTCAAAGAACAACACAACGGTTGGAAGCGAGTATTAGAATAGGAAGGCACGAGGCTAAAAAAGGGTAGGGAATGCCTCTAATGACTTAGTCGTCATAGATATTAGAAGAAAAGTATTGTGGAACCAACCCGGATAAGTAAAGGAATGCGATTTGCCAGCTGTTGTGAGAAAATCCCCATATGCGGCGTTAGTCCGACATGTTACAAGTTGTTTAACAATAGTCTGTTCGGTTTTCCCTGCTAACGATATATGTTTTGTTTTTGATATATTGTTGTATATCTGGTTATTTATATTATCAATATAATTTAGCGTGTTTTCTGACCTTGATTGTGCCCATCTCGTTTGATAACATGAGTGGGAAATATAGAAAAGGACTAGAAAAGGAGTCTCATACAAAGAGATATAAAAAGAGGTCGCATACGCTACAACTGGAAAACGATGAACTATCGTTTTCACCGATGCTTTGGTCATTCGAAGAAACATATATGCGATTAGCTTACTTTTGGTTAATCCTTTGTAGTCCGTATACCTCAGAAGTTCAAGTTTAAGTCCGACCGTAAAAGCCACGTATATTGTTAAAAAATTGAAGCGACTTCAGATTATTTTATTGCGCATCTACACGACTTTTATCATTTTATTATGCGTAATAAAATGATAAGAGAAAAAGATTTGACCACAATCACATGGAAAACTGTTAAGACCGCTGCCGATGGTTTGTGGCAACTAGTGGAAGCCGACAGACGTATTAGCCTGCACTATTATATTCGACTATAATAATAATAAGCTTCCACGTCAGGGGAATTGTTTTAGTAATCTTATAATATGGCCCTTCGCCCTTTACTACCATGTGTCCCATTGCTTACCTCGGCTGGGGGTTTGTATCAGAATCGAGTTCATATATAAAACGTAGAATAATTTGTTCCGTACATCAGTAATTATTTCGAATTTCTATTCTATATTTAGGTATATTAATGTCCATTGAAAAAGTTCTTTTAAGGCAATGTTTTCTTCGCGGTTTGCGAAGTGACAGTTTTTTTGCCAAAATAAGTTTGTGTTAAATTAAAGAGGGCAAATCTTCTGTGAAAATGAGCATTTTATATTGGCTGTGCGAACAGGACTAGCATGAGTTTACATCGTAAAACGCTCACATTGATAAAAAACTTTAACCATATGATGCTTGAGTATTACGCACCCTATGAACGGGCTGAGTATGTATTTTTATCGAAAAATATAAAACGACGACGCAGACAATATTTTATCATAGATTAATGCGCAACCTATTTTCTAAACGACATCATGGAAATTACTACATGACCTACACATATTCTCACTAATTATACGGCGTTCCGCACGGTCTGGCCGATCTTTTCAACGCCGAGTATTTTCTTGTTTTTTCTGTTACAGGCGTTGCATATTCCGTTGGCTCTGAAGTATCGATGTCCCTCATCATCAACGTGGAAACTAGCCGTTGCTTCTCTCTTAAGTGCGCTCCATGTCGGACTGCCAATTGCCCATTCTAATCGTGTGTATTTGAGCAAAACGTCCCGTTGCCTCAATAGGGGCAAATGGGAAGTATTCCATTATTGTATAGATAGATGGTTATTTCAATTCGTGTATTGCTTTCGACTTCCCATCGCGTGTCCCACTTCGGTGATGCCGGTGATTGAAACGTTATAGATTTCGCGGGCGTGCAGTAATTTTCCGTTGAGTAACTTGTGTTCTTCACATAAGTTAGTTATACAAAAGGCAGCCATTATTTATTACAGACGTTTGCGTGCATTTTGAAGAGACAACTGAGTGATTTGGGTCAGGCCATATACAAGCGACGGTTGATAGGATAGCCATATGGCGCAATTGTCGTTAGATTTTTGTCGTTTTTTTTTTTTTTTTTTGGTGGCTAGCACTAATCGCTGGCATCTAGTCGCTTGCTACAGGGTCTTCAAGCAAACTACCACGGCCGTCCGTGGTTGTAGTGTTAGATCAACATTAACAGTCGAATCGTTATATTAGAAAAGGAGAAAAGGTCACTTTTGAGATCACGAAATGATCCTCAGCTTAAGAAACACGAGCGATGGCTTTTATGAAAAATGCAAACAAATAAACTTAAATAGGTACTGCTGATTACTTCAAACTTACTATGATTTGTTTCAAGAGATTTAGAGGACATAACAGAAATAACTGTGAATACCGTATGTACATATTACAGAAAAACGTTTGAAGAGAGTCCTTATTTTTTTTTTTTAGAGAAATCCTTTGACGAAGGATATGTATTCGTTTAGCCTTTTTATTACTATTCAGAAAACGAAAAGCAATAAGAGTAGGAGTAAGCTAAACGTTCATACCTTGTGCATTTTACAATTTCTCAATAACTGTTCAGGGAACGCCTATTTTTGCAACTAACTTTCTTCTTCTTTGTTACCATTATTTTCCGGTCTTACGCGGTCAGCGGCTATGTTCGAGGAAATGTGGGCAGATCTGGCTATAACTCTAGAAGAGTTTTTATTCTCCGACAGTGTCCCACCGCCAAATCAAAGCCTTGAAGAGCAACAGAATGACGAGTCACTAGACACGAGAGTACGTGTGACCCTTTCAGGAGCCTTTGAAGGGTGTTTTTCATGTCTTTTTATTGTCTCTTAAGATCAGCTTTAACAATTTTTTTCAACTACAATTAAAAAGGATAGTTTGCTATTCGATGTATCGACATGATATGCTGTACAGGTAATTCCACGGCTTTGAATTGAGCATTTCTCATTTTTGTTAAATCATACCACACGACTTTGCATGACAAATCCAAAGCTAGACTTTACGCAGAGTTGCTATGCAAATGTCGTTCGGGCTTAGTGGGTAGTTTTGTCGCTGTAGATTAGTATTAAATAGTACTGGTTGTACCAGTAGACACCATTAATGTACGAAAATAAAGCAGTGTACGAAAGTTGACCGCGTTTCTTAATTCAGCCTCCGGAGTACGTATGAAAGGCGTGTGTGATACGAATAGGCCGGTTACCGAACAGCGTCTATCTTCAGCCGACCAATTGCTTCTGCCCTTGAGATGTGTAAAGAATTGGCGCTCAGCCGACGTCTTAACAGACCGAGGTCGTGGGTTAAATCCGTTGCGCTGGCTTATCCCTACGACGACTCGAAAACAGCTGGTTGTTAGACGACGTCCAATGTAGACGTGCTTAGATGCTCTTGGTTTTAGGTCAAACAAACCTTTATGGGGTAAAAATAAGCCCAATTATTGAAAGGACGAACAATAATAAAGACGGACCAGCAGTAATACCTAAATGAGATAGTGACTCGCGCGACAAATTATGGCCAATGAACCCATTTGAGATATTGATGATTGCATTGTTTGTTCATCTGTCTGTCCATCGATGTAATACAATGTCCAGGTAATTCAACTGATTCGTGAATGCATCCTTCCTCATGCCGGCAAGATGCCGAAGATCTTCGTTCTACGCGTAGTCGCATTACTGAATAAAGGCTCAATACATTCCGCTACATCGAGCGCGCCTGTCGGTAAGTTCGTTGGTTCAGCTCTTCTGAGCGATGAGAGCCTTCTGTTATGAACGGTTTTCAAATATGAATTCCCTTTTAGCTAGCTATAGTGTATATGTTGCTTTCATGGGAAATGTACCTTTCGACTGGCCACAAAATGTAAGCTATTGTGAAACGGCAATACACAATTTGAGCTTTGGTGCCAGTAAACATCCCTATGTACGACGATTTAGAATCTGCACCATGTCGTGACCGTTTTAAATGACGCACTAACGATAACCCACCCGTGGTTTTTCGTGCCCTCAGGATCAATCTATATAGAAGACATAAGCAAAAGTTAGTCAGGTTCTAGCTAAAGCTCCACTGACTTTTCCGACTAAGGCATATATCAAATCACACATAAAACGCTCTCATTCAAGAAAAATCAATCAGAAAAAAACAACGCGATCTTTTCACTCAGTTTACCTGCCCCTTACCTTTAGAAGCTTACTCGACCCAGTGGATAAAACTGCACAGACCCTATTACGGCATTAGCGCTGTATACAAGACCACGTTTACATACAGAATACATCGTTATAAGATCTTGTCGTTTGGCCGGCAAGCCAACCAAATGTCCATTACATTAATAGCTGATTATGTTCAATTTGAGGTGTGATTTTCAACTTCTTCCGCAAAACTTGTCAAGAACATTTGACTTACCACTGTTGCCACATGGGATCCTAAGATGTGACGTTATCCTTAATATTATCATTACTATCGCTACACTGTGTTAATTATTGATTAGAAACTATGCATGGTCATAAAGTATAGGAAGTACAGAGCCTTTTGTTATTCTGAATTTCTCTCTGTCTGCCTTCTTCCGATCTTCCTGTTATCCTTTGTCGCCGCCCCTCTGGCTCGTGCATTTGTCCTTGTGTTATTGTTTCGTTACCTGTTGATCTGCATTTTTTCTCCGTCTCCCGTCTCGGTTTCCCCCTTTCTCTTTTTGTCGCTACCTATCCCTGTGTCGCCTCTGTTGTCATAATGCGACAGTGGGGGCCGTTCCGGAGCGCAACTCGGCAGCAGGCTCGGGGGTGGCTGCTAACCTTGCCGGGTCCACAAGAGCGCACAGTGCCTATTGCACGGTACAGACCACCGGCGAGGCTCTCGCGGTTGCCCCTGGGTCCGCGCAATCACCGAGCTTGACGGTGCTGGCGTCCGGCCAGATCGCCAAGCCGATCTCGACCCCGATCAACCAGCTCAACAACTCAAGCTCATGGCCCCCTGCCGCTGTTGTTTCTCTTTCTTCTATGTCTCGCCCCGCCCTTGCAGACGTTGAATCGAGTCGTAAGCTCCGTGAAGAGTTTGCGAAGGCCTGCTTCGAAACTCTGCTGCAGTTCTCGTTTCTCGAAGGCAATGCGGTCACCCTACAGCCGGAGACGAACCTTAGCCTTACTGATGGACCGATGTCAAGCTCAGCCCAAGCAGGCGCAATGCCCCAGCAGAACGCAGGTGTCGTATCGAAGTTGGCTATCACGTCGCTGCTGCATAGGTTCGTACTGTGCTTGTGTATGTACCTTCTAATTAGGTTTAGTGACAATTTAATCATTAAAAAATATAAACATCACAGAAATCGTTAGGTTTAAGTACATTTTCAATTAATTGGATTAATGCAGTCTTTTTGAGATGCACAATCTATGTAGGTGAATAGATTATGCCTGTTGGTTATGAGGATAAAACTCGCCGCCGGAAGTGGATGACTCCGTACATAAATTTATCAACAGTAATAATAAGACTCCCGTTTTAGAACCTTATAGCGGTAAGCTTGTTGATTTTATGTATTTTAAACGCTCCGTAATAATACTAGCGTCTTCAGTTTTCCCGTCGCTCATTAGCTTCTTGTTTTCAACATTGTCTTTATTCGGGCACCTCATTCACAGGTTTGAGGAGGTGATTTCGTCCTATGTGGAAGACGAACGATTGTCAGGAAAATGCCCGTTACCACGCCACCGGATGTCCGAGATCTCGTTTGTACTCAAGGCTATTGCGACTCTCATCGCTTCGCTAAAGAAAGCTCCGCGAACCAGCGTTGACCCTTCCGTCTGGAAACAGTTGATCGCACTCTACCCCAGCCTCGTCAAATGCACGACGTCATCTTCCCCACAAGTCTGCCGCTCGCTTCGAGAGTCATTGCACGAATATGCTGATCTTCTCAGTCCGCCCAGCTAAACCTGCGTTCGAACCAGTGAACAGGTGCAAGAAGATAAACGCCCACTCCTAAGCCTTTGCACGACCATGCGCTTCCTTAGGGATGAGATGGCAAACGTGCGAAAGAGGTTCCAGAGGCAGTACACAAATGTAGGAAACGGCCTATATAGCGTACGAAACATATATGTTTCGTACACATATATATATATATACACGAAGAAAAACTGTTAGGTATAATGCTATGAGGTTTGATAACAATCGATCATGAACGATTTGATAATGATTAGGAAACGGAGATAACCACTGCGAAGCAACACAATCTGTTAGAGATAAACATTATATTAATGTAATGGAACCAATTTTACCTGAGCGAAGGATACAATACACATAGACCCACTCACATGTGTATGTAGCGCATGTGTTATGCTTGCTCGTTAGACAGAAAGTGAAATCATTAGTGGCTACAGGTTCAGATGTTGGGGAGTTTGTAGGAAAAAGGACGCAAAGAGTTTTCGTTAAAGGATGCAAAATGTCCGCTTAGGGTGCTAACGTTCTTAATGCTTGCATAGATAGATCGCGAGACAATAAAAAATAAGGAAGAACAAGAGTTACCACTGCGCAGGCGGCATGAAACAATAATAAGTCTCCAGCCTGTTACTAAGCTCATAGTGCTGTAAACCATTCTTCTGACTACGGCCGAACGTTTTGTTTAATGTATGATAACAAACACGCTGTAGAAGAGAATAGAACACGAGCGATGAGTGCGAAAAAAAGAATAACGACGTAGACATAGACGATGCCTCTTATATTTACTGTTATTGTATTGTATAAGCATGACGCTTTAAAGAGCATCTCTAAATCACACGTAGAGGTTTATCGAGGCTTGACCCATTCTTGATTTACCTTCAGGCTGAGTTTTTGGTCTCTCTGTGATTCCACCTCATTCTAGAACGCTATATGATGACGACGGAAAGCATACGTATATATATATAATGATAAAAATATATGATTATAAAAAGCGCCTCGATAATGCTAGATATTGCAGGGAAAGGCTGAAATTTTATGCGATAAAAGGCCCTTTCTCTCAGGACACTACGTTTGTCAGGGCATGAATATGCTTCGCGATGAGCCCCAAAAGCTTCTGCTAACTGTCTTCGACTGTGCGTCGCAATGCTATTACAAATATATAAATTTATATACGTATATATATATATATATATATATGCGGGCAGACCAGTTTTATGTGATAGAGTTAGCATAAATAAGTTAACACACACACACATATATATATATTGCGAGCATTAAATCACCTTCGATCAACAGTTGTACTACTTTTAGCTAATGAAGATTGTCGGACCTTGTTGACGGTCCTCAAAAGGCGTGCCGTCGAAACAATACACACAAACACGTACTAAGAAAAATGACTGTGAATATTTCAATAAATTGGTAGTTAACCTGTATTCGGTGGAAAATATTTTTCTTCCTGTAGGAACGCGTTGTAGGTCGTTAGAGACTACTAGTGCATACCACCTTTTTTTTTTTTTTACATAATCTACTTTTCTTCGATGAAGTTAAATTTTTTTAGGCTAATTTTATGGCATGCCGAGTTTCTTTTTGCTCATAAAATAAAATATCCGCTTGCGTACTTATTAAAGTTGTTTCTAATAGGCGAGCCTTACCTAATATATTAACTTTAATCCTCCAATACTCGTATGTCATGTGTATGGCTAAATATAATTTACTTTCCAGGCAGTGATATATATATGATAAGGCATAAGTCTGTCGAGAGTTTGACAATCCTAATTTTATACATATATTGTAATATATGTATAATTAGGACGTATGTATGTATATATATATATATATATACATACAAATGTATTTAATTACAAAATGAGCACACGCAGTAGATTTTTTCAAGTTGACATTTATACCCTCTAATTTTATTTCCGTTTATGTATTTCTTTACATTGGTGTGGCGGTTCTTAAGGGTGGTTTTCCATTAATTCATCCTGTCATTTATTTACGTCCCATGATTAGCCACGTAACACTTTTCGGTCGATCTTTAGCTCACTTCAGTTCTATGTGGGGTCCACGTTAAATTTTTTGTCGGTTTTTCTAAATATCCGTTAGATCTATTCATTATTATCATCGGTGTCATGTGTTGAACTCCGTGCTTCCTTTCCCTGTACGTCTGTTTGCCAGGTGGTCAACGAGGCTCATCGCTGGCAATTACTTCGCAAAATTTCCACATTTCTTAAGTTTTTTTTTTTGCATTTTTTTTTTGTTCTGCTTCTATTTTTTTGCACACAGCGGTTAACCACTTCTTAACCATGATCAAGCAGAATATTACATTTGATTTCTGTTTGCCCGCTTTTGTTTTCATTTTGCACAATATATTATTCGACATCATCGACAACATTGTCATATATATATAAATAGTAATAATTGTCCACTTTATCTTCATGTTGTTGTATGTTTATGTTGTTTTCTATCTTCCACTTAATAATAGTTACAATAACAAAGTAGTAAAAACGGAACAGGAAAACACGTTGTTTCTAAACATATTTTTTTTCTGCCGTTACTTTCTGCTTTCGTGTGGCCTGACTTCGTTTCGTCTATTTTACCTAACTATCATCATCTTATCTACTAAGATTTAGTTCTCATAGCCGCTAAGCCTTTTTGCTTCAGCTGCTGCTGCTGCTGCTGCTACATCTGCAAGTAGTTTTCAATGTTTCAATCATTGCGAGCCGTTCGTAACAGCAGTAGCATTTGTTTGTGTTGGGGGACTTTTGTTTTAGTGACCCAGCCAACTCACCCCCCCCCCCCCCCCCCCCCAGGACAACACCCTCGCAGCATAAGCCACCGGTCGACGAAAACATCTGGTGGTAGGATTTTTTTTCCGTTAAGCTGTTTCATGTTACTGCCTTCCTCTTACATTTTTCATTGCAGTTTCAGGAAGACACACTCAATTCGTATAAATAATCCCTCATGTATATATATATATCAATGTTATGACTACTTTGTCATTGCTACAGCTGTCGTTATATAATGATGTTCTTGGTGTCTGTATTACCCGCTACCTCATTCTTAATGACATCGGCTTAATTCCATCAATTATAATAATAATAATAATTAACATATTTACTATATTCAATACCATTATCGTCAAACTATCAACCACCAGAATGATAAAACCCGTTAATATAATGGAAAGCTTCTTACGAGGTCCAACTTCCTATGGTTTTGTTATATCTGCAGCATACCAGCATCTCTGTCTGGCTTAAGTTCCTCATTCCGCTGGAATATTTGCGTTACGATGGCTTCCGTAGATTTTTTACGGTGAGTGCGTTTATTCTATTTGTATTTCCGACTGTTATATTCTTGGCTCATAAAATATTATTCAGTAATCTAGAAATTATTTTGTAGTTGTAATATTTTTGTTAATATTCATTTGTTATTATTCAACGTTGACCATCAGCCATCGCTCACAAACAAAAATCATGGACGCTACGAGATTTACCGAGGGGCTTCGGGGAGGCAGAAGAGATTAAGGTACGGTGAAAATCCCATTCCTATTCTCTATAAGAAAGAACAGACCAGCTAATAATACTGTGATCGTATTTGGTTGGTCGCAATCTGTCGTTTGCTGGGAATTAATCAGCTGTTGTACGATCAGCGTGTATTCACAATAAAGTATATAGTAAAGCGTATAATTCAACCGGGTAGGATATTCGGCGACACCTTGTGCCGCCGCTATTCGCGCTAGTTGTTTTGACGCAGGGCATTCAGTTTTACCAAAACAAACTGTGTCGGTAAATGCTAGATGAAACAGCTTCTTACTCACAAAGGAAAAGAGGTATATAAAATATAGGCCTAAGATAGTAACATATCGGTATTTGGTACTGAACTAATTTCGATGTGTCTGTAATGTAATCAACGCCTCTTTGGTCAGTTGATGTCGTTACTCCGTCTATATTTAAAGGTTACTGCTTTTTATTGATTTCACACGTATCACAACGATCGTACTGCGGGGGTACTTTTATGAAGACTTCTTCCTGTAAAGATTTGCCTCTGTCTATATATATATATATCATTGTCGATAAAAAATCATGTGGAGGCGTCTATGGAAGTACAGGTCTAATAAAAACCCCAGTTGCTCGTTGGTAGTAGAGTCCTGGAAGCGGGAATATGGCTGATGGTGTAATGCTTGTTAGTCGACATGTCAGGTATCACAAACGAAACAAGTTTACGGAGATTTTATCGTAGATCTGTATCGGTCATTCCGTCCCTATGACGTTATACGGTAGTGCACTGGTTGGTTTCACGAAGGCTTTACTCGTTGGGGCTCATACACTAAACGGGCATTCCTTAGGACTATATTTTTTGTGCCATATGTCTTGTTTACAAAGTATTACAGCTGAATGACCTATTCAAGCAGAACTATATAGAACCAACTTGTACTGCAAGATTTTTTTTACTTGGCCAAAAGGCCAGATTTAAAATCGCTCGGCCATACCAAACACAGATCCCCGTTGTTATCTCCTAGTATCATTTCAAAAGGCGGTCCAAGTCTTCGACGGTGCTTGACTTAAGATCCCTTTCCGCTAATCCTTTGCGGAAAGGCAGGACAATGTGCCGTCGAAGCCCCGAAAAAAGTACCCGCCTGTTGTCGCCTATTGTTATTACCCTTGTAATCATATCTACATGTATAAGCAACAAACGTGTTACGTCAAAACCCACTTAAACTATTTGTTTAAAAATAGCTAAACAAAGCAAATGAGTCGTTCAGCGATTCTCTATCCCAAGCACATCTTCATGGTCTTCACCGGGAATCCTGATCCATCGCTATTTTCAGCTTCCGATCTATGTGATCAATAAGTCGTACAGTCTACAATGTACCTCCGAGTATTTTTCATAGGCCAGGGGTTGTTCCATACGCCACGTAAATTTAGTACGCAATTCGAAATTCTCGTTTTCGACAACATGGGTCCATAAAGCGGAAGTAATAAATTCGAATTTCCAGGGGAATTGTCTTCCCAAGCCTTTTTCTTCCGCACAAATCAAGTTATTTAATGCGCAAACTGCTAAGGTAACTACACAAACTTTGGCCTATGATAAACGTGCCTGGCCTGTGAAATGTACGTCGTTTATGCTAATTACCCAAAGCATTAGCCACACCGTTTGGCGCTTATTTCGACTAACGACTTTTGCTCGCCCTTAGGAGCACTTAATCCCCTTGATCTGCTGCTCTCTACCGGTTGTTAGATAGCTCTACGTTGATGCCCATCTCGGTGTCTGTATATGGGTATGTGAGTGCATTGCATCCGATTAACGATATTATCATTATTGTTATTATGTTTCTATCGATTATATTGAGATAGAGTTATTTTTTTGTTGCTGTCGTCGAAATTGAATCAGCGGCCCTACTTTTGTTTACTGTCATTATAATTATTATTACCATGTATCTTATCCTGTTCGCAGGTAGGCAGCTGGGGCTCGTGAGTTGTGTGGCAGTCTGGCCCAATCTAAGCTACGTTGAAGCGATTCGACCATACTCAATACACGGAACTGTACGGAGGGTAGAGCTTGTGAGCGTTAGTTACTCTATTTGATAGTAGTTGTATCAGCAAAACTGCTATACAACAAAGGTCGTCTTACAATAATAATAACAACAATAATAACGGCATTAGCAAAATAGTGAGACTGTTTACAAGGGACAATTTCAGTTTTTTTTTTTTTTTGCAATAGTAGTGGCGCGTCTATCTAGCAGTTAAACTGCAAAATATAGATTCAATTTAGAAAGGAACGAAGATTTTTTAATTCTTTGAACTCAACTCGACTTGCCATGCCTTGTCGTCTCTTCCTGACTATTTGGGATTAATCCTTCCGTTCCGGTGTACAATGCACGCCAGATGTGAACTTTATCAACGACTGTGAAAACAGAGGTCCAATCGAAAAATATGGTTTTTGACGTTGTCGTGCTCTCTGTTCCGCATGGCTGGTCGTTGCGTTTTTAGTAACAGCACAAACATACTTTTCATTTGGTGGCTGACAATGCACTTTTACCACCAACATATCATAGCCTCAATATACCTACTCCGTGGAAATTTCTCTTCATTGATCACCCGTTACTTGCGATGGGCTCTAGCAAATGGTAATCATAACTATGTATATAGTCTGGGGTATGTTCGTGCCTGTTTAGTAGAGAAAAGCGAACTCATTATGGTGCCATTCCTTTATGAGTGATAAAGGTGGGTAGGGCTTACACAGTAGGGCTGTCTACGAACGTATATCATGCCAATTAAAAATATTCGTCCGTTTCTGCCGGACCGAAATACTACGCTCTAATGGAAATACTTCGGCTGGTGAAATGGGCCCCGTCTACCGCCACGTTAGGAAAATGGAACTAGAACACCCGTAGCGTTCATATGTATTGTCCTTTTATAATATGCTGTGTTAGTATAGGATTCAAGGAGATTTTGGGATGTGTCTCAGGTATTTATGGCTCCTGGGTCTGTTTTGCTATGGGTACAGAATAAAGTGTGTTTGTATGTACAAGTTACAATAATAATAACTTATCATATTAATAGCAGTTCTCGTAATTGTTGTAATTATCCATAATATATATATGGGAGTAGATGGTTTTTGCTGTAGTAGAGTTTAGGGGGCGGCACTTGAAGATAATCATTTAATCAGTTGCTCATCCTAACATTCCTAACCTTCAACAGTGTCGAATCATTTTCATCCGCATCAATAATTCAGGCCTTGTCTTTTGGCGATACGAGGTTTCCTTTGCTCGATTGAAGTTTAATGGAAAACCTTGTGTTTCGAGATTGAATCTCAACCTCAATGTGATCTCACGTGGTTGTTGGTCCTTCGGTGTTTGCTCGTTCTCGATCACTCCCTCCGCAATTTCACATGGTCTGACCGTCTCACATCATTATTGAAATTACGTACTGATAGTTACCCGGGAAGAAAATCATTTGGCAAGGGAACTTCTTTATACTTGGATTCTCTACGTCTGACCTCCACCTTGCGATGCTGCGTCCTCAACAACCACCGCTTCAACATCAGTCCGCAACTTTGCCATTTTAAGAATTATCATATAGTAGATCTTCAAGTAGCGCAGAATAGCAGTATAGTCATGACATAATTATTGAGGCCTTATCACCGCTGGCATCTCTATAGCAATAAAGCGAAATAACTCGATGAGAGTATCGTTACGATAAATGATAATATCTATTCTTGTGATTGGCAAACTATTATATATGTATATGGAAGGTAGTTCTTCGCTGCTGGGGTTGTAGTTGCTCTTCATGCTAGGCCATGCTGCTATCTTCATGATGAAGCCCGAATTCTGAAATGAACGAGGAAATATTTCAGAGTTACTCAGTTACAGAACATCAGTGCAGTGTTTTGTTAAAAATGGACTTCTACCTAGGTAAAAACGTAGCTGGATGTGTGTGCGCAATTTAATTCAAAATCAAATGGCTTGAATTACTTTAGAATTGTTATCAATTATCGAATTGGTGTTTATCCTCCACACCGGGTATGGGTTGAAACATATATTTATTTAATTATTCGGTTCAAAGCGAATGTTTATTTTGCTTAGCTGTTAATAATTAGCCACTGTTACTTACATTATCGTTCAGGGTAGCATCGGTACGGTACCTGCTATTTCTCAACCAGCAGCGTTTTTCTCAAGATCCAGAAGAGTTCTAATAGGGTTCTGCTATAGTCGTCATAATTAACCTTGTCGTTTCGTCTACACCAATTTTTGCATCGTCATCTATTTTCCTATATAGATGTCTTTATATGTAGCCGTACTTAGGTGCGGGTATATATTTGCTGTCATGTTGATCGTCGCCCTGAATGCCGCCCCGAACTCTGTGCGTGGTACCTGAGTGATTAGTCCACGTACTCTGTTTAGGTTTTTCAGTTTCACTTTGCTTTGCCATGGGCTCGATCCTGGTGGACGGTGCCCTTCGAGGACCAGCCCCTAATCGGGATCAGACTCTTCCTGACAAGCACAACGCTGTTGGGGTCTCTCTCAGATCCGGCGGAGCTCGCCTTAACAGTCGACGCAGTGGAGGCCACGCTGGATGCAGTCGAGGCATTCCTCTTGGCTGTCGTAGCACTAAAACCTCGTTGAGGACTACAATTAGATCATTCGAATAGAAAAAAACCAAGTTTGACACAAAAAAAAGCAATTTATGGACTGATAATAGCGGACGCAAACATTGGACTATAGTTTATGCAAAATGAACATAAGGAATCAAAATTAACGAAAAAGTGCTCACCGTATCCTCTCTAGAATTTGTTACTAATTTTTAAATAAGGTGACTGACTACATATGGGCTTATATTTGATCTATGTTAGACATTGACAACGTATTTCCATGAAGGAAAACATCATAACCGGACGTTTTTCATACCGAATAACCAGTGACTTCATTATATCGCCACACACAAAAAGTTTTTTTCCAAGTCAAGATTATGCTTAAACTTATGGATTCAGCGTCCATAAATAGAACGCGTAATTAGTAACTAGATAAACTGCTTTACGAGTAAGTTTGATTTGAGCGTTGATGGTCACTGCACATACCTGCTTTGAGTCTTCTGTGCAGGCAAATGTCGGGCTGCAGGTTGAGAATGGCGGTTACTTCGAAGATTATCCGCCTGATGCACTCGAGGATTGCTAGCTGCACCTGCAGCGCCTGTGGTTGAAGGCACCGTTGTTGCCGTGATCGGCTGTTGATGTTGGCGGTTCGGCAGCGCCAGCCCACTCATCTTTTCCCATTGGTTCCTCAGCTGGCGGAACTTCTGCGTGTCCTTCTTCGGCGGCTCGGGCTCCTTCTTCACAGCCGCCGGGTACGATACCGGCCGCGCGCGTCCCTGTAGAGCAGCAGAAAGTTCGGTCTTGGCTCGTCGGATTGAGTCCCTCTTTGAGGGCCGTGTAGATCCGCAAGCAATGAGCAATGAATCGGGACCAGGACTTGGCTGTCTTGTAGAAGCAACTGGTTCACATGCCGGGGAAGATTCTAAAGTGGTGCCAGCTGCAGACGCTAGGGTGGTAACACCTTTCAACATTCCAGGTGGCAACCTCGGAAAGCTCAAGGGTGTTGCCGGACGGGAGGATCGCAGGCGACCAGTGGATACGCTGCGCGTCTCCTGACCAGTGCACCCAGACCGAGAGGTTTCGACCAAAACACCGAAACATAATGGGCGCGTCAGAGTATCGGCCAAAAGCCACGGTGGCAGGCACGGTGGCGATGGCCGTCAGGAGACAGGTGCATGTATACAACAGCAGGCAAAAACAGGAACATGCGGACGAAGCCAGCACGGGGCAAGAACGTACACAATCGCACCAACAACAGCAACATTGACAACAAGAAGAGTAAAAAACCAAAGCGCGAAAACTTAGCAGGATGCAAAACAAGTGTACAGCAGAGAGTGGATAACGGAAGTATTTACGTGACGAAAATTCGGAAACAAACAGGAAATATCGCACTGCGAATTGAATAAGTAGTAAACATCACTGGGGTTGTTTGCTGTGCTAAGATACTCAGAAAACGTACATAGGTCATTATTTATCCAGACACCTAGCGTTATGTAAAAAAGGACCTAATAACAGAAAGAATGTAGGCGTGTATAATAATGGCCCTTGTACAAAATGTAAGGGAGACATAAAAGAGGGTCGATTACATGCTACACACTCTGTTTTAAAAACTTTCATATGGACCTTATTCGTTGTTCAGATATTTCCTCGATATGATGCGATGCAAAACACACAGTCGATTGTACTCTACTGAACTACATATATTAACTTCTTCAGAAAACTACAATATCTAGCCACAACAAACAGAACGGTCAACTTATAGTCAGCAATTCGCACGCGGATTCCGATGTTAGAGAACATCAAGTAAACCTACTTTTGTTCCTTGCTGATGGGGTCGAAGCTTGGCCGCCATGTTGAGGTTGAAAGCGAAGGGCAGCTCGCTGAGGACCCGCAGGTTGGACACAAGCTCCTCCTGCAGGAAGAAGAACGAATAGTGGGACAACAGTGGCAAGAACGCCGAGGTTTGATAGTGCTTATGCTGTACGGATGCCGTGGCCAGCAATAGCGTGATCCAGGCGTCGAGACAGCCGAGGTTGACGAGACCGAGCGCAAAGCAGCGGAACTTCGCGCCTTCATCCAATGCCGCGTTCACCGAATGGATGTAGTCGAGTAACTCACGAACTTCTTTACGGCCCTCCTTAGTCTGTACCATGGACTCGACCAGGTGCCATTTGGAGTTTGGCAAAGGGCCGAACAGTCCGCGCACATGGGGGAGCAAGCCGTCTTCGAGTAGACGCTCGAGAGCAGGCAGTAGACCACGCGAGACCTCACGTCCCGCCTCACTGTCATCGGATAATAGCTGCATCTTGGCATCGCGTTCTTTGTCCCTTCCGTAAGCGTCAACCACCTGGCGTATCGCTGTGTAGATAGAATCGAGTAGGTGTCGCTTCGCAGTAACAAGTTCGTGCTGCGAATGCGTTAGCGGCGAAACAAAGCCTGATGGAGAGAGGCCCTGAGGAGTGTGTTCCCTAAAAGGCATGCCCATGGCAATTCCGGCAAAACCGCGCGAGCCCCCGCTTGCTATACTGCCAGGAGTGGGCGTCATACAGTCTTGCAGGTTCAAAGCGAAATTGCGACATCCACATGTCGCGGGCGTCCGATGGTCGCTACTCAGTCCTTTACAGAGATTGTCACTAAAGCTCACGGCCTTTTTGGTGCCACGGCAGCAGCAGTTGCTACTGGAGCTACTGAAACGGATAGGCAATAAAAGGGTTCAACCTTTTAATAGTAAATGGAGTCGAGTCCCCTATTTTCATGATCTCATCTCATGCAGAATACGGACATCGTTAAATGCTCAGTTCAAACATTTGAGAAGCAACTGTTCAATTACCTTCCAAAAAGTTACGTAGAGTTGCTATAAAACGCTTTTGCAAGATCAGATATTTAAGGCAGCCGGAAATATAGCAAACATTCAGACAACATGATATGTGCTTCTGATTCTACCATTTTCGGTGAGTAAATCTTTATCTGAAAAACCTATCTTGCAAATACCGTATTGATTCCAAATGATCCATAACATATTCTATGAAACACGTTTTCTTCTACTTTCCTATAAGTATCGCGCAATACTCGATAGTCCGAAATGCACGTAATCGACACAAGAACTACCTAGAAAAACGATTTTAATTGGCTCACTTTGAATTAGTTTGTTGAGTAAATGTTTGCTGTGGTGTCGCAACGGTGTTGAGGTCAAGCCCGGTGGGTATGAGACCGGTGAGACTTGGAAGATTGAGAAGTGAGTGCCTTCGCAGGGAGGAGCCGTCCCGCTCATCAATATGTACGCCGGCACCTCCGCTGATGTACACCTCCTCGTAGGTGCCCGCAATCTGGTCTATTCGTAGCGGACGCGGCTGACGTGAGCCACTATCCTTTTCACGCATTCGTATGCTTCCTGGGACACCTGCTGCTGCAGCTGTAGCAGTTGTCGTCTGAGCAGCTTGAGCCGCCTGCACTTCGCCTCGCATCTGCTTCACCATCAGTTTGATGTCGTCAGGCAACAGCAGGCTGAGCGACTCCCAGTCTTTGATACGTTCGACGCCTGTTCGAAGTGTAGCCTCACAATCGTTGTATGACTTCGGCCGACACTTTGGCCCGCTGCTCTGGGCGCGGCGGCGAGCCGGAGTACCAACGGCGGCAACCAAATTCATATGTTGAGTCACTGACTCCTTTGCCTGTACAACGATACATGAATTGAATGTGAAATACTGAGTGTTTATGGTCAACGTGACGTTGATCTTAGTTAGGCACAACGAGAGTTACGACACGTAGCTCAACTGTTTGTTTGAGTGGCATATCTATTGCTTTACGGTAGACAAAAGTAGAAATTAAGTGAAGCAAGGCAGTATTCGTAACGGGCAGCCTAAGAGCACGTTTGTCTTTTAACATTGAAAAAAATAGCTTTGGAAAAAATTCGACAACGATTTTCGTATCTGTTGTATTTACCGGGGGCGTTTGTGCCGGCAGCTTGGTGGTTTGGCCGATCTCGGTTGGCTGCAGGACCACGGCATGTCCTGGTTTGATGTCTTTTAGGAAGGAGAGGTCAGGCAGCGAGTAATTGGGATAGCAAACGTAGATGCTCTTATTGATGGGGGTGCTTTGCGGATCCAGAAGTTGCTCGGGGGTGACCACATGGCAATCGGGCTCCTCAGTGCCGGTATGGGGTGTTGGGGAGGGAGGTCCTGTCTGGATGGCCACCGTCCTGACCTGAGTTGAACACTGGAGGCTTCCCATCTGAAAGCGAAAAAAAAAAAGAGATACCATTATATCGAAGACGTATTGCATGATGGATGACTAATTCTTGACTATAACAAGAAAAGGCTGAGAGGTCCCGGATCTCAAAATTTGATGTCAAAAGTCGTATGTAATTTATTATGTTGCTGCCAAAGGCCTCTGTTTCAAGAGATGAGTTTTCAGCCCCAATACTGCCGCGCTTACCTTGGGTGTGCTTCTCCGATTACCTGCGCAAAGCAAAAACTGCTGTGCATTAGGGCTCTTGTTGATCTGGTCGTTGGAGTTCTGTCTGCTAATGTAGCCACTTGACTCTGAACCGACTAGCTCACCCCGACGCGCCGGCGAGACACGCTGGCCAACAAAATTGTTGATTTTCGGCAACGGTTTGCTGTCGTACGGCGGAGATGGGTTGTTGCTATCGTTTCCAGTCGAATTGCTTCCGGAAGAGTTCGTTGACGAATTCGTGCCCACATCTCGCATCGGTTCGTCGCAGGACGAAGCGCTACCAAGGCACTGCTCATCCTCTTCACGAATGGGGGAAGTCAGAGCGGTGGCTGTGGCACTAACTCCGGGGCACGTGAAGCCACGGCGCGCTGCCAATAGCCCGACGAGACTATCCTCAAAGCACTGCGAGCCGTCTTCTTCGCTAAGAGTCGTCGAGTCATCCAATATCACGGTGTTGTTGTTCAACGTGTTATCCAGCTTCTGGCGAGCTCTGTAAAAAGGACAAATGTTAGTCCATAGAAGAACAACTAAAACTGGACGATCTAATTAAAAACGCACAGGTTTTGGTAGCTAACAATCTGGATTTGTCTTACTTTGACACAGAGCGTACGGGGTCCCGCAAGGAACGGTGGCGCAGTGTCAACAATAAACCAAAAAGGAGCGCCGCAGACACTCTATTTAATTTACCTGACTTGGTGGACGTTAGTGACCGCATTAGCAGAAAGCAGCTCCTGTGCCTGCGAGACATTGCTGCTACGGGCATTAAATATCGGGAGAGTAGTTAACGGCAGCGTAAATGAGCCGTCCATCGGATCATCCTTCTCGCCTGGAAACTGTCCTGAACTAATGCGCGTGTGACCCCCCTGACATGGGTTTGCCTCTTTATTACCAGTCCCACCAAGAGCGGAACCAGCTCGGCAACCGTTCTGAGTCTCTGTCGTACTTGACGAGCAATGCATGACTTCTTGGCTACCGCGTCCTCCTTTGTCCATGAACATCCGCAAAAGGGGAACTCCTGACCGCCGATCTTCGATCACCTGACAGTCGTTTATCGTATACAGAGTGTTACAGGTCTTCTGCAAAACCGACTTCGTCATAGACCTCTTCAGCAGGTCAGGAAGCGAGTGACTCTTGCCTGAGTCCTCGCGGCCGTCACTAGAAACTCTCGACCACGTCGTGAATGCAAATTCCGAATGCACCATACCACTCTTGCTTCCTGCGACACTTGCGTCGCCACGCCCTGTTGTCGCACAACCGCTTTTGTCATTGGCGTTCTCTGAGCCTGACCAATTGCTTTGCGCCTCGCTACTGCCGGCCAACTCCGAATCCTCCGAAGCTCCATCAGGGTGGATAATTTGGCTTTGTTCGAAGGCAAGCGTATAGTTGTTTTTGTTAGTGGCACGACAAGTTAGCACAAGATCCCCATGATAACTACAATCTAAACTGTCGGCCATCAAGATATGCGACGCCGACGGGACTGAAGCTTCCTTCAGGGGCGAAAACAACGGTGTCTTCCGACAGATCTCATTCACCCTGTAACCGCAATCATAAGGCAATACGAACATTGCTAAAATTGAAGTGTTGTCGGTGCTGTGAAAGAGGACGCCTGTCTGTACCTGTTGCGCTCAAACTGGTTATTGAAATTATTTTCTTCGCTATGAAAACTTTGTTTCATTATCCCTCTACACTAACCTCTGTGACGAATCAATAGGAAGATCGTCTATAAGAGAACCAGACAGACTCGCGCACTCTTCGCCGACACCCGCACGAGCTGATTGCAAGCTGAGGATCGCATGGTTGATGTCTTCCGACCGAAATGTCTCCATGTCGATCTGCGCGAGATTCGCATCCATGTTTTTGCTGAAGTCCTCGTACGATAGGTCCATGTTGAGGATCGAGCGCTGCATCGGCGTGTGTCGACAGTGTCTAGCGTGGCTGTGGTGGCTCGTCCAACTAGCCAGATGATTCAGATCGGCCCAACTGCTTCGAACAGCCGCCGAAGCAGCGCTCTGTTCGTGGAACGAATCGGCAATCCACTGTAGTTCATCTGTCTCATCATGAAGGGCCGAACAAGCCGATGTGTCCATTACGTGTCGACCCAACAACAGAAGGCTACTGCTGGCCACGCCACTCGTTGCAATAAGGGACGAACCGCCTCCACCTTCGTCCTCATTCACCCGAGCCGACATCTGAGAATCGATATATAAAATGGGTGCCCTAATTAGATTAAACAACTAGTTACGGGATGCCTACGAACAAAAAGCTGTGTATATGAAACAAATCACTGAAAGTTTTTTTACGTCCGTGACTATTGGGGCCAGTTGCACAATGCTTTAGACGCTGCTACTAGGAGAACGCGTTGTCACTGCACCATTGCGAGGACGGAGAAAATGCAGGTTTTGGTGGCTGGATGACGGCATGTTGACGAAGAATAAAGGAAAAACCCGATCTTTTGTTATGCGTGTTTTGCGCGCGACTGGAAGAGACAACTATTAGATGAGACATACGCTGGTTCCGCAATTTTCCCGCCCGGTGAAAGGGAACATGAAGCTTGCAACTGCCAAAGTAATTAAGTATTCATGTACGGTAGCTCATCTGAATACAACTCACACAACATAGCTAAAGCCTTACAAACTAGGTACTAGATGGCAAAAACTATTCTTGATAGCAAAGATAAGACCTCGTTGAAAACACTGATCCTTGTTTTACATGTATCCTATTGCAATGCTTCTGTTATTGAAATTCTGGGCACATTGATAGCTTTTGGGAGACACAATTTTCCACGGCTGAAACTGTGTCTCCCAAAAGCCCACGAGGGTCACCCTGCTCATCACAGTGTTTTGTGGGTTGTGCCTCGTAATAAGCACCATGGTACACTTGATCGCCCAAACGATATAGCAAACCCAACTTGCCGGAAATTTGATGTCCTACACTGTTTATCAGTGGCTGCTTTGCTATCGTATAAAATTTTGTGCCTCTTTGAATGAAAAGAAACCCTATGGCACACTAAAACAGCGATATTGTTTGTATTAGTCACCTAAGCTTGAGTAATAATAGGAGTAAGGATGATTCTATTACAGTTAGAAACCTAAATGTAAACATTAGAGAAATGTGCTCAATTATCTACCAAAGTCTAGACAACTAACACATGTTATGCTACATAAATTTCAGCCGAACTGAAAATTTTTAAAATTCACTTTTGATTAAAACCGAATAAATGTTAAGGCAGCAGGTGTAATTCCAATTTTTACCTGAAGTTCAACATGTAATGCCTTTTCAGCTAACTTATAGTTTTTTTTACTCGATAAACATAACCACTGTGTGGTCAGGGAATAACTAAGGGCTTATCTAATAGCTTATGCAGCATTTTTTCCTCAAAAGGGACATATAATAATTTAGCGCATAAAAAACGTCTCCCTTAATATACACCTAACGACTCTCGTAACAATTTTAAGCCCAAAAACGCTCGTCGTAAACATTTTAAAAAAGACTATGCACTGAACGACAATCAAAAATACCTTATAGATGCGCTTCGTTAATTGTTTCTGTTCCGGCCGATTTTTCTCGCACCTGTTTGCAAATCACAACCTTTCATTGATTATTAATAAATCTGCCGTTAGTAAGAGCTGAATCACTCGTAGCACTCAGTGGACAAATTGTATTTTCTGAAAAACTGCGGAGGAATACTAGCTGGATATTATAACATGGTTCTGCTCGTTGCGACGAAAGGCTTTACAGCGCTGAGCCTCTTGTCGCTCTCTTTTTGTTTATGGCAACATCCTGGCCTACACTAAGGCCATAGTAGGGCTCAAAACAGTACGCAATAGATAGTGGTTGGCGGCAATGGTTCTGATGAATCTGAGTGAATTGCGTGCATGACAAACGACTAACTATCAGAACGCTCGGCCAGGGTCACTGCAGAAAAGAAGATTAAATACGTTTTATTGATATATCTTCTTGAGATCCTGCTGGAGATCAGCTGATATAACCTAATGATTTCTAAATCTAAATAGGACACGGCGGTCCTCTTACTGCCCACTTCGTAGGTCGCGTCTTTGATAATGGGACAATATATTATCTATGGAGTGGTTCTGGTTTAATGATCTTCTATATCGCCCTAGACACGGAGAAAGAAAGAAAGAGAAAAATAAATAAATGACTTCAGATCCAACTCAGTAATAAGGCTTAGGATCAAACTGTTATCAAATTCACTTATTTAGTGATCCACCATTGCCGTCTGTTCTCGCATCACTCAGTAAATATTCAAACGATGCACTTACGTTGCTAGCAGAACGAATATATATATTTTTTTTTAAATTTAAATTGACGTTATCGTCATAGATAACTCGTGTAGTTAATTATAAAGAGCTTAGAACTAACAAGCAGTGAACGCAATTAACGGAGAATCTAGCACGTTTGTCTAGACCGATGTAAAATTACGTTTCTCTAATATCTAACGTCTATAGGCTGTTGGAAGTAAAATTAAAGAAATATCAGCTATCAGACCCTCCTCCGAAGGTAATAGAATTATAGCTAGCCAGTGGAACGCCGAACTATAGTCTTATTGAATTCTCCTTAAAATTAATTACAACGACGAGCCACTGCCTGTTCAACTGCTGGCATTATGCCTGATTCGTGTGCTTTTGTCGCGTATCGTAGATGGGTTGTCTATGACGGGGTCCTCGACCAGACACAGTACATGATCGAACTATAGGATAAAAAAACATCTGCCATTCCCGTTCGTAGCTCATCTCCCTATATACCTGTTTTCTATATGCATAAGTGACATGAATAGCGACGGCGCGTACAATTTAGCCGGGAGAAGATCATACGGAAGCATCGTGCACTGGTATGAAATGTCCAAAAAGAAGGGCCAGATAGAGATATATACTAATGACACTGAATAAATGCTCTAGAAAAGAATGCCATTTTAGCGGAGAAGCTGGTAAGCAACGGAAAAACATGAACGGGGCCATAGGTAGCAATCAAGCTTGGAGGCACTACTGTTCAACATAATAATACAAATGATTAAATAACTATTGATGACACTTAGACTGGCTGGCAGGAATGAGCCTATGCTTCTGAGGAAAACTTGATCAAATCTGATTAGCCCGAATAAATGCGTCAGAGCTCTATACTTTTTTTTTTGTACTCTATACTCTATTTTAGTCACTGACTATGGTTCGCTATACTTAGTATTAAGGACATGTGAACGATTAATGTACGCTTATAGTATTGCAGCACAACCCCCAGTGTACTATACCTTAAAGCACAGTTGTCTTCTAGCTAACAACAAAAAAACGTGTTTTATGTTTTAACGGGTCAGTTATGATCTAGCTAAAAACGTACGAATCACTTTGCAAGCTAAGTAACTTGTACCTTTCAACTTATTGTTAGATCGACCACCACGCATATAAGAAATCCATATCCATAAGAATCGTATACCTTCCAGCACAACTTTTTCCCTATCATCCATCGATAACAACTGTGACGACATATTGCAATGGCGCGATATGAATCGCTATCTGCAACACGCGATTGCCGCATCATCATGCGACGTTGTGTTGCAATAATTGATGTAGCCACAATGACAAGCACAGCTAATTTTTACGCATCGTCTTCGAATGGTCACGGCGTCTTTGACGCGAGTTGTCGTTTTTTGATCGAATTAGTCTGCTCACCGGCGGATCCGCGCACAGTATATATATACGATTTTTGCATTGATTAAGTCCTTGCCGTTACACCCTGTCGCTCGTGGAAGACCTGATCGTGCTATAAACGGCTCTCAGGTCAAGGTGAAATTGCAATGTGTTACGGTTCTCGTTGGCTATGACGCAAGCAGTGGCGATATTAGCGGGGCCTAAATCTTGGCCACCCCCCACCAACCACCATCTATCACTACTGTTTTTTCACATCAATATTGCTTATACTGCTACTTTTTTGTGTTATTACGTTGCTGAAATTGGGCATGTTTCGAATAAACATACATAAAAAAAGATGTTTGTAAAAAAAAAACAAGAAATACACGAGTGAACAATCCTAGTTATATATGCGCTAAAAATTGCAATGCATAATAGTTCTAAAAATGATGTCAATAATAACGCATATCTCTATTAAATATCGTCCTGGAAGCTACCTTGTCATCTAGTTTTAGACCACGATGCGATCTCTAGCGAAGGATTATGGCGGGTTTTAGATAGCTGAGTGCGACCTAGGGTACCGTTAAGACCAATTTCGCTGATACATCATCTCAAGAAATAACGTTTTCATACCAATACTACCCGCTTATCATGCTATATATACTAGTAAAAAAAAATTTTTCATCTATTGGTTATAAAGAAAACAAACATACCGACTCGGTCTCCACCCCCCAAAAAATACATGTGTTTAAACAAGGATAAGATTTGCAGGCGTCTTCAGCATCACGGTCCAATAGGTTTGAGTTCTCCCGTATAGTACCACGTAAACCGCCACCTGGCTCAAAGCGTACCCTAACAGGGTATGCTGAACGGCCCCGGCATAGGATTGGCATCATGAATAAGCCATAAGTCACGTACCGCTTAAATGAGTGACCCGTGGCCTTGATCATGCAGTGTTGTTTAAGTGGTAAGCCTTAACACTAGGCCTTCTGCATCCCCTACCGCATTCAATACACAGCCGTATAACTAATGAGCTAATCTGGTAGCGCCCTTCTTAGCGCCCTAACCTTAGGTAACAAAATTCGAGAATAAGCAACTATGCGTCCACACAAGAAGTACAAGCGGAGCACTTAATTCACTGTGGAAATAAATGAATCACTTCTGGAGTTTATTGGAAGAACATTTTGTGACCGCCATTGTCCAGGGCCGAATGATATTTTCAGAAAAATCTGACGTTTGACGTTACTCGTAGACAGCTCACTTAGCTCAGGTAGCTCGATCAGGAAGAATACTTATGGCTATCGCAGAGTTTACCAACCAATTTTGGCGAAGGCCTAGAATACACATAAGGACTGGTTTCTCGTTCAATATTTTAATTTTGAATTTTAATTCGTACGTCTGTCTGTCCCTGTAAACACAGACGGACAGATTTCCTAGCAAAGGTAGATATTTGTAAATATATCTCTTCGAGTACTATTATCGCATATACCTAAAATTGTTGGAATATTTCGTGTTCTTATTCATTATAGATCCACTAGAAAAACGACTCC